TATGTTAATAGTTATTTGACAAATATGAGAAAATTGGTAAAAGGAATTGTGAGAAACAGAGAGCAAAGAAACAAGACAAAGGAGAACCAAATTTTATTCCCAATACTGCAGAACGATTATCATATGCAACAATATCTGAAGGATTAGTGGTATTAGGATGTATTTATGAAGTGACAAACTATGATTTGCTGATATCTTTGCCAGGCGGCTTAGTAGGTCGTGCTCAAATTACAGATATCAGTGAATGTTACACAAATTTGTTGCAAAGTTTGGTCAAATCACAAGATTCTCTGACAAACGAATTGAAGTCCCTTTCTGAGTTATATACCTATGGAGATTATGTCGTATGTTATGTAAAAGCTATACAACCGCAAGAGACGTGGCAAATTTCGATATCTCTTGAGCCCAGTCTGATAAATCAAAGTTTAGATGTTACTTATTTAGATAGTGGCTCAAAAATAGTATGTACTATTAGTAGTATAGAAGATCATGGTTATGTGGTAGATACAGGTTTAATAAACGTAAGAGCGTTTATTTCTACTAAGGAAAGTGGCAATAAAAAATGTTTGTGTAAGTAAATTTAAATAGTATATATGTTTATAAAAAAAATTAACAGTTATTACTACAAAGTCTTATGTAGTTCCAGGTAAACAGCTTCTATGCTATGTTAAAGAAGTTAAAACTAATGAGAATACATCAACGATTATATTAACTTTGAAAGAGAAGCTTGTTAAAGCTATTTGTGAAACAGAAATTAAATCATTGGACAGCTTGATGCCAGGCACAAAATTTAATCTTTCTATAAAGAAAGTTTTGTCTAATGGCTTATGTGTTTCATTAGATGAAAACAATATAGGATTCATAAATCAAACATATTTAGATGAGCCCTTATCTAAATACTCAAATAATCTGAAAATTACTGGGACATTATTATATATTTTGCCGACCATCAAATTTGCATACTTCAGCTCGACGATAGATAAAAATAGAGACTATACTATTAAGCCTGGAGATGTTGTAAAAGAAGCTACTGTTCTATTCAGAGAATCTGGTGGAATAGTACTACAATTAGCTAAGAGTGGAATACGGGGATTCGTTTCCTTTAAAAGAACAAGTGTTGAATATGATACAATCATTGAAAAATTTGCACCTGGTACCACACATAAATGCAGAATATTATCATACAGCTGGTTAGATGGAATTTATATCTGTACCATGCAACGTTCACTGTTGGAACAGAAGTATTTTTCATTGTCTGATTTTAAACCTGGCGATGTGGTAAATGTAAAGATCACAAATATTGATAAAGTGAATGGTTTCATTAATGTACAACATGGTAAATTTAATGGGCAAATTGCACCAGATCATATATCTGACGAGGGCTTAAGTGCCTTAAAAAAGTTGAAAGTCGACGAAGAAGTAGAAGCAAGAGTCTTGTCCGTTCATATAGACCGAAAAAGAATATATCTCACTTTGAAAAGATCTTTAATAACAAGTGACTTGCCTATTTTAGCAAACATACAAGACGCGAAAATTGACGCAAAACACCACGCAACTATCATTCAAATACATAAGCGTGGAATATTGGTAAAGTTTTTCGGGGATGTTAAAGGTTGGATTCCACATACTGCTCTCGACATGCTAACATCTAATGTAAATTGGAACTATTCGATTGGACAAACAATTTCGGTAAAAATTCAAACAGTGAACACAGATTCGGGAGAAATAACTCTAAATGTGGCTAATCAGGACATACAAGTTGAAGAAGCAACATTCGATATTGGTGAAGAAGTAGAAGGCACAATAATAGAATCATCCACTCAGGGATTATATTTAAGAATATGTAGAAATGAAGGACAAACTGTTAGTACAGGATTTTTACCAGCTGGTCACATGTCACCTTGTATGGAGATAGCAGCTCTACTAGCATCAAAATATGTTCCTGGTGATACACTTTCAGCTCTTGTATTTGCTACAGTACCTAATCTAATTTTAACTAGGACTTTTGTAACTCAAGGAAGATACAGGAATTTTGAAAAACTGAAAATAGGAGACTGTATACCTTGTACGATCAAAGATATGGAGCCAGATGGTATAAGACTAATTTTGCCAGTTGCAGAATGTACGCCATTTGGATATGTGTCCTATAGTAACGTTAGTAATTTTAATTTACTGCACACAAACCAAATTTTAATGGCAAAAATATTTTCTATTAACAAGAAAGAACAACAATTAGGACTAACATTGTCGCTAAAGAAAATATACGATGATCTATCTGATCCTAAAAGTAGAATGGTGGCAGCATTGGATACATTAATCCTGTATTTTAATAAATTAGTAGAACTTTCAAGGAATTCATACTACAAAAACAGACCAATTGCATCTGTAAAATTAGGGCAAAGAGTTACTGGAACGATTGAAAAAATTACAGCTGATGGTTTGGTTGTTCAATTGCAAAATAACTTGCTCGGTATAGTGTCTAAGGATCATTACTCTGAGAATAAAAAAATAGGGGACAAAATTTCTGGAACGATTATATGGAAAAATTACGTACACGAGCTTGTCGAATTGACCACGTTATCGTCAATAATGCATAAAATAAGTGCCAAACAAAATAAGCAAATACAATTCCCTGATGGCAAATTGCTACGTGGTAGAATCTTAATGGTGACAAATTGGTTTATCTTGATATTCCTTCAAGGTATTGGTAAAGGAACTTTAGCTGCGATACCTGTACGTCGTCACATAAATGATTTACAGCCAGATCTAACACCTTATACCATTCATTCTAAAATTAAATGTTACGCCTTATTAAATTCCAAAGAATCCGATATTATGCCTCTCTGCATCATAAAATCTGCATTTGAAAAGAAGTATTGTGTGAGAGAGAAATCAGGTGATAATAATAACTTAAAAAGAAAGAAACAAAATCAAGAGAATGTGGTACTCACCAAAAAAATAAAAATTGAAAAATTACAGGAAGTACCAAAATTGGAAAACAAAGGGAAACGAAACAGAGAAAAACCAGAGAATGATTTAGAAAAGGAATATTCAAAGACAATCTGTGATGAACAAATAGGAGAAGAAAAGATTAAATTGGAAGATACCAAACCTTCTAAAAAAAATTTGAGAGACACACTTAAAAATGTTAATAATGATAAGGATAACGAGCAGAGGCCAAGGACATCTGCGTGTGGATTTTTCTGGGATGGCAACCCTGATTTAACTCTCCTTCAGGATAAAGAGTCATCTAGTGATAGTGAAGATGAAATAGAGGAAAAACCAAAGCTGAAAAATAAGAAATTAAGCGCCGCTGAACGTCGAGAACAAGAAAGACAGAAGGAACGTGAAATTCGTCAAAGAGAGGAAGCGCTCGCCGATAACCTGTTACCAAATTCTGTAGATCAGTTCGATAGATTAGTTTTAGCTAGTCCAGACAGTTCAATAATATGGTTACAGTATATGGCATACCATTTACAGACGACAGAAATCGAGAAAGCAAGAGCAGTTGCGAGACGAGCAGTGAAAACGATTAATTTCAGGGAAGAGAATGAAAAATTAAACGTTTGGAATGCTTGGTTGAATTTAGAGTCTAAATACGGAATTCCTGAATCATTGAATGATGTTTTTCAAGAGGCAGTAAGGTCTAACGATTCACTAAAAATATACAATCACATGTTGACTGTTCATGTCGAGGCTGGCAGGCAGATCGAACTAGAGAAAACAATTAATACCATGATCGGAAAGTTTAAACATATTCCCGAAGTATGGTTTAATTGTGGAGAAGCTTTGGTAAAAATGGGTTTGAAGGACAAATCAAGGCATATTATGCAGAGAGCATTGCAATCTTTGCCAGCATCTGAACGTATGTATACAATAGAAATAAAATGTTATAAAGAATAAAATACTAATATAATATAAATTTTACAGATGTAAATCTAATGGTAAGGTTTGCGATTATGGAGAACAAATTTGGGGATAAAGAGAGAGCACAAACTCTGTTTGAGCAAATTCTAAGTTCCTATCCGAAACGGGTGGATATATGGTCCTGTTATGTTGATTCTTTGGTTAAATCTAATGATATTGATATAGCAAGGTAAACATATTGTTTCAACTATATTTTGTCTGTTTAATTTCATAGAGAATTTACTTTATAATAATTTGTATTTACAGGAAAGTTCTAGAGAGAGCAGTTCTTCAGGTATTACCACCTAGAAAGATGAAAATCCTGTATAAAAAGTTTATCAATTTGGAAGAACAGCATGGTACTCAGGAAGACGTGATTCGTGTTCAACAAATGGCTGTAGAATATGTAGAGAAGCAGTGTACAAGATGATAAAAAATAATAAAACATTTTGACAAGTATTTTATTACATCATGTGAGCAAAACCTTAATTACACAATACCTAAAAAAGTCCAGTTATGTAAAGTTTTCTACCACATATGCAAAGTACTATTAATATTGATACATATAAAAATGAAAAAAGTAACATAAATCGATATATTTATAATTTCTCTGATTTCGTAATGACAAAACCAGGAATATGTCTAATCAAGAGAAAAAATAAAGGATAAATATATGATTTCAATCAAAAATTTTTTAGCACGTTAGGGACGCAACTACTCCACTATACAGCAGTAGTTTTAGCTGATCGATTGTTACAACCACGTCCGCACTATTGACTTCAGGTCTCGGCGACATTTAAATTATGTCTGAAATTGTACTAATTGGTTTTGTAGGTACCCAGGTAGATATCCTTATCCAAGAAGTCTTCATTTTTGTACTTCCCGTTCGTGATTGTTACGTTTTACGTCTATCTTCTTAAGCATCTTTGTTGAGGTAATTCATGCTGCATCCTGAAGACAGTAAATTCATATTGTTTCGACTTGAGATTTCTATCTGATTCATTTGTGAGGCTCTGTATGAAGTGTATGTCGATCAGTTTGAAGAAAGACACGATTTGAATTTTTGGGTGAACTACAAATTTTTAATAGCTAATAGCCAAAACTGAGAAGCTAAATCAAAAACCGCGCGGTCAGCGTCTACTTCTTTGACCGTTGGGTCTTCGTGGCGCTTCTGACACTGGTGAAATGTAGCCATAGACTATGGACATAGAAATATGGATTATATTCGTGATTTGTGATGTAGTCGCACGTGGGTTGCCTCATTGCCTGTTGCCCCGGTTTAGAAAGTTCCCCCAGCTGGTTCAGGATCTGTTGCCTGCGGCCTGCGAAGCAGAAAAATCAGAGAGCGATATGTCTCATTAAGTTCCTCAGAATAAAATATTATGCCTATTTGCATGGTAAGGTTTGCATTCGAAAAGAAATACCCTGTATAAGACAAGTTGTGCGATAATAATAACTTGAAAAGAGTTGATATTTTTAATTTGATAGAGTGCTTACTTCATAAATGAATTTGTAGGAAAGTCCTGGAGAAAGCACTTGTTTAAACATTACTATGTAAAAGGATGAGGATCTCGTTCAAAATGTATATCTAGTTTGAAGAACAGTATGGTACTCAGAAAGGTCTGGTTTGTGTTCAGCAAATATTTATAGAATATGAAGAGAAGCAGTGTAACAAAGATAAAATATTTTGACACATATTTCATTACAGGATGTCAGCAAAAACATAATTACACAATATCTAAGAATATTTCGAAAGTTTACTTCTATTTTATTTCTACATATGCAAAAACATACTGTTGACATTGATATGTACAGTGGCTTGCTAAATTATTTACATTTGTCACAGAAAACTTTTATATTCACATTGTGTTGTATATAAAACATTTAAAAATTTTGTTAGTATTATAATGAGATTGCCCTATTTATATTGCCAATTTGAAAAAATATATAAAAGTTTCAGGATATTTAATGTAAACTTATATTTAGTATAAAATTAATATACAGTATGTATAGTCACCTTAAGCGTATAATGTATTATATTAAAAATGGTTCCACTGAATACCAAAACTTACTAATGTTATGAATGATTGCTTATTTAAATATTTTTATAATCTCTGCAAAATATATGTACATGTACATGTACTTGTACTAAATATCTTATAATTTCTGCATTTATTTTCAGAATCATTTAAAATTTCAAAAATATAATTATGATAGTTGGATGCTATTTATAGGATTAATGAAATTCACGGTATAAAAGTGAAAGAACAATATAAATTGACACCTTCTAATTATTTTTTTCACTTTGCGTCAACGTTTCGAGAACAGTACAGTTCATTTCTTCAGGTCTGCCCAAGTTACGATTATTAATTTCTTTTTTCATATGAACTACATAAATTGATAGTTAAAAACAGGTTTGAATCGATCGTTAGTCGAATTTAAAATTGGAATAATGTGGCGCGATAAACGTGATTGGTAATCAAAATCCTCTTATAACCGTGAGTGGCAGCATTGGCTTCGAAGTTTCACCCTAGGCAAACGAGACGGCACTTTCTTGTGCGCTAGCGCAGAATGCGGTAGTCGCGGAAGCGATGACTGTCAACGCGGAATTCGGCAATCTTGTAATCGCCATATTGTTTGCACACACGTTGTGTTAGCGAAGTCAGTGGTGATAATCTCGTGGTGTCTTAAGTGTTTAATAAGCCACGAGAGGGAAGCGTGGAAAAAAAGGTAAATAACTCGAGTAGCAAACTCGGTCGGCGGCGAAACCACACTCGTACCAAATCGTGTCAAAGATTTTTCCAGTAAAAACGAGCATCGTGACGTGATCTACATATAAAACCGTGTTGTAAATCGATCGTGTGTCTCGAGTCTCGTAGCATCGAGCGACTATTTCCTCAGCTCAGACACATCGAATCGGAAGTTCCGAGTATTCGTCACGGTGTGTGACGTCACCGACAATTCCGAGGGATGGCCCGTGCTTTTCAGCATCGCGACGCATCACCTCTCCTCCCCTTTTTCTTTTCGTAAAATCTCCGTAAGAGCGTAAGCTAAAATTCCTTGCTGCTCGATAAACGACGACATGATCGAGGGAACGCGAACGTATTCGTCTACGTAACACTGACGTTTTCTAGTGAAATCGTGTACACATTTACTTTGGACGAATTAATCAAGTGAAAACCCCTATCTACTTGTGTAAGAGGCATACAGCCCGTGAGTATTTTCCATTTTATAATGAATGGCTCGTATGTGTGAAATATACGATTATATATATATACGGGTCTGTGGGTTTTAACTTTGGAACGTGAGAAATGCCAAAGGCTCTGTGTCCAAATCAACGCGTCTTTCTTTCTCTTTCTTTTCCATCTTGTCGTCCTATCACTCTATCCTTGTCTCTCTTCCAACCGTCCCCCTTTCTCACTCTCTCTCTCTCTCTCTCTCTCTCTCTCTCTCTCTCTCTCTCTCTCTCTCTCTCTCTCTCTCTCTCTCTCTCTCTCTCTCTCTCTCTCTCTCTCTCTCTCTCTCTCTCTCTCTCTCTCTCTCTCTCTCTCTCTCTCTCTCTCTCTCTCTCTCTCTCTCTCTCTCTCTCTCTCTCTCTCTCTCTCTCTCTCTCTCTCTCTCTCTCTCTCTCTCTCTCTCTCTCTCTCTCTCTCTCTCTCTCTCTCTCTCTCTCTCTCTCTCTCTCTCTCTCTCTCTCTCTCTCTCTCTCTCTCTCTCTCTCTCTCTCTCTCTCTCTCTCTCTCTCTCTCTCTCTCTCTCTCTCTCTCTCTCTCTCTCTCTCTCTCTCTCTCTCTCTCTTACTCACTCTCACTCTCTATTTCTTCCCTCCTGCACCCAGTTTACCGTCTCTTTCTCGCGTTTTCTTACTCTCTGGCCTCGTGAACGCGGAGTTAGGTTACAAATCGAAACAGCTCGATAAAAATATTTCAAGTATCCAGAAATGTTTCCCTTCCACACCATCGCATCAGGCTGAAAACTTTACTTCAGGACACCAAGAATTGGTGACTAATCCCTATACGGGGTGTCGTAGCATTGGTAGATAAACTTTTGGCGTTCTAAAAGGAAGTTTAACCTTGCTGCGATCCTCAAATTTTGATATTCCAATTTTGTTTTAATTTTAGCAGTAAAAGAGATTTATAGTATTTTAAGAAAATATTTATCTTAAAGTTGAGATGAGCAGTCATGCATACCAATAACAGTCTTCTCATATCTTGCCTGAATTTGAAATAACGTCAAAAAATACCACTGGATAAAAAATGATCGAAAGAACTCAGCAGGGTTAATTGAGTCAATGAACTTGAAAATTGTATCGTCCTCGTATCAAAATCATGAATGTGCAAATTTTTCAGTAATTTTACGTTAAATTGTGAATCTCTATAATCTATTGAATCTCATATCCATGGCATTGCTATAAGAGAAACGATATCTTCAAGAAAGATACGGAGAAATGGGAAATATATAGTACATATATAATGTTGAAAGAGCTGGCAAATCGTTTTGATTGAATCATGATAAGAAAACTTCGAATTATTTTAGATTTGAAAAACTGTCCAAGATTGAAATCTTGATTTTAATAGATTTAAATTCATACGATTGACGAAAGAGAATTCAGAGTTAGGTGAGAGAATAGGATGCGTGTCGTACACGATTGTAATATTTTAGCAACGTTTTCAATTCTTGTGACATATCGTATCGCGTAAATCTATTTGTTACTATAATCACTCATTGTGTTTTATTTCTTTCTCCTTTTTCACTCTCTTGAAAACGCAAAATAGAGATTCTTCATATTATAGTTTTGTATCCAAATAATAAACAATGTTTCTACGTTCCTTATCTTTTCTTTCTTCTTCCTTCATTCTTTTTTTTTACTATTGTTTTCGGTAAAATCACATTTTATTCGATCACATTTGAGTTGAAGTTTCTCTTCTCTTCTGCGAAAGAAATTCAAATCAGTCATAGAAGTTTACATACGCTTTACGAGTTTCGTGTGTTTCCATAATACATTAACGTATTTCCAGAAGGAATTAAAAGAATGTAAATATTTAGCTCACAAAAATTTTAACATAGAATTATATCAGAAATTGCGAAATATTTAACTTTATCAATACCAGGAAGACTTTACGGAGTATTAATACATTACAAAGTCTACTTTTCTCTATAATTTCATGTAAGTATAAGTGTACGCATTCTTGTGAGGCATTGCATCTTCTATTCTTTATTTTATTTTTTAAATATGTGTCATACGTTTAATATAAGATTTAATGCTAAAAGATATTGCTCTTAAATTTAAGAGGTGTATGCGGACTTTTGTGACTGGCTGTAGGTGTATGTGTCGCGTTATCTTATGTAACCCAAAGCGTTACACACGCACGGATACGACGAAACCGGTGTGCGAATAACTAAAGATCATAAGTGAATTCGATCGGTCCTATTAATCGCGTTACAAGTGCAGTTGTACGCAAACTTGAAGCATCGTCACGTGCGAGTGTACTCGTTACGCGCCTTACCTTTCACGCTTCTACTTACATACGTATTTTTCATATGGGGGTTACAAATAAAACATGGTTATGTTCATGTTCAACTATGTACATCTTTCCCTCTCTATTACTTTTCGCCGTCATATTTGCTTCAAGATGATCCATTGACTGTGAATAACGTATCTTCTTTCTTTAATAAGTTTCTACATTGATCACTGAAAAAATAATAGTTGGGGCCTTGCTTCTTGTGCATTCTTTTTCCACATTTCGCAGCTTAAATAGGAAGAAAGAGACAAAAGATATTATCATAATGGCGTTGTTGTATGTTACCTACCGATACGCGACATTACCGTTGTAGACGGTGATTTGAAATGCTAAAAAAAAAAAAATGCTAGGATATGTGTTCCACCTCGTTTTCGTTGCGTAAACGTATAATCTGCTCTGCCAGGGATCCACGTGTACTGATTCTCATGATGTAATAGGCGTGATCCATTGATCGAATAATGCGGACCGTTTTCTGCTCTGTCATCTGCGTTTCGAATTAAGTTTAAAATATTGTCACTTCCGTTTTTGCTATATCCATTTTAAACACGATTATGTAAAGACTATCGGAGACGTTGATGAATAATTATTAGCTTAAAAAATTACACAATTTTGATCAATTCTCCGATTATTTACAGAAATATGTTTTTCCAAATCAAAAAAAAAAAAAAAAATAATTGCGGAGGATACTTGAGTACATTGAACGTAATTAATGAAATCGCACGCTTCAGGCATTTACTAGCAGGTTCGCATCATAAGATTAGTTACATAATTTCCAATTGTGCTCTTTATCTGATTACGTAACTGCGTTATTGACTTTGCGAAATATAAGAGATGACCCGTAATATCTTTGCCGTAATTTTTCAGCGAGATGCTGTTTCACGCACGCGATATATTTTTTCTCTTTCCTCCAGCATCTGACCTTCTGGAAGTTGAAAGAAAAATACTGACAAATTATTAAGCTCGATCATATTGCGCGTGGAAAAAAACTTTAAAATGAAATTCGATATACTTTACCAAACGATTCGATCGAAATATTTAAAGAAAAGTAAATAATTTTACATGTTACACGATCTGCGAGGAAATTCAAGACGTTTCTCATATTGGTTTTGCGCGTCTGATGTATTCCGGTGAAAACTGGGATGGTTGCCAGAATCAAGGGAAAAATGTGGTTGCTTTCTTGACGTTAGGTATTTGGCAGAGACGTGGATTTTCTTCTTGGATGTTACGCGCGACTTTTACGCCAGTAATTAATGAAATCGCACGCTTCAGGCATTTACTAGCAGGTTCGCATCATAAGATTAGTTACATAATTTCCAATTGTGCTCTTTATCTGATTACGTAACTGCGTTATTGACTTTGCGAAATATAAGAGATGACCCGTAATATCTTTGCCGTAATTTTTCAGCGAGATGCTGTTTCACGCACGCGATATATTTTTTCTCTTTCCTCCAGCATCTGACCTTCTGGAAGTTGAAAGAAAAATACTGACAAATTATTAAGCTCGATCATATTGCGCGTGGAAAAAAACTTTAAAATGAAATTCGATATACTTTACCAAACGATTCGATCGAAATATTTAAAGAAAAGTAAATAATTTTACATGTTACACGATCTGCGAGGAAATTCAAGACGTTTCTCATATTGGTTTTGCGCGTCTGATGTATTCCGGTGAAAACTGGGATGGTTGCCAGAATCAAGGGAAAAATGTGGTTGCTTTCTTGACGTTAGGTATTTGGCAGAGACGTGGATTTTCTTCTTGGATGTTACGCGCGACTTTTACGCCATCATTCACTCCAGAAACAAAATTCGAAAAACTGTTAATAATAGATCGAAGATGGAATTTACTTAACTTGCGACGGTAAAGCAGTTTCCTACTTTTAATTCTTTTTTGCATTGTTACGTTATGGACGAGATAAAAGTTACGATGTTACCGAATTAATTGAACCTTGTCTATTAGGTAATAAATATTTCTTGCTCTTCCATTTGAGACTTTGAAAAAGTATGTACTTACCAGTCGTGATATCTCAATCAAATTTTGAATTAGCAGTATCTTTCTACCTACATGTCGATTATCTTCACTGATTAGATATTTATTTTACAATATTATATTTTATCAAATGCTTTCATATTTTACTCGAATCTTCTATTCAACATTTGCGTTTCAATTGTCAGTGTTAAAAAGTTTTAATTTCAGAAAAGAATTAAACAGCTAGAATCTACTGTCAAAATACATTGTAAAGTGACCCAAAAACTATGCAAACGAAAATGAAAGGATACAAAATCTGGCACTGTATATCCTTTATGCGTTATATGTTGGCTATTAGTTAGATTTCTCGGTCATCGATCTTTCATCGAATCAAACTGATCAACGTATAGCAGGGTCAAAACAATAACACGCGTGCTGAGTATCAAGCAGTGCACGGGTAGTTACTTTTTTTGCCGGCTCAAGGTTAGTTTGCTTTTTTTAGCACGACCCAGTAACCTCTGGCATTTCTTCATTTTGTATTCCCGCTCTTCTTCGTGGAATTTGACAGTTGGAGTATCGACGGTAAAGTTCCTTCTCCCTATTGTAATTTATTCCACACGGAGATAGAACTAATCAATATCCGATTAATCACATAACGCAATGCGGTTTCCGCTTCCAGCGTCCAACGAAGATCCGTTATTTTTTCACGAACACCGGGTAGATTCTTCTATGGAAAAAAGGGGGACAAGGTGAAATAGCTTGCTCGAGTTGCAAGGTCGACGCTGAAGCTGAAAATCGTTCTTGTTTCTCTCGTTCTTCGGAAAGAGAATGCTTATCGATTAATTTTTCGTCTAATTTTATACATAATGTGTGTCATTTGGATTACTAGAGTACTTTAAGCATACCTTCGAGTTTAGGTATAAAGATGTAGGTCTTGCAGATTTCAAAATGGAACAAGTAAGACAGTTTGTGTAATAATTAGATTTTTCTGGGCCAGACTGTTACGGATTGTATGGAACACGGTGTAGATCGGAATTCGTTATATCTGCCCTCTATTTTATCGTCGTTCAACACTTCCAAAAGTCTTCTTACCTAATGCTCTTTAGTGGCTGACGTTCTATGGATCAGCCACGTCAGTTTCCTCGCGTACAATGTCAAAATCCATTTGCAAAATTGAACCAGTTCTGACAAAAATCGATGTATTATATGTAAGTTCTTTGATTTATGGTACTATAGAATGCAAAAGCCTTGGGCTATCTACTATATTCGAATTTTATGACAACTAACCGTATCTTTAGGAAATACTCCTATATAGTTTTTTTAAAAACGAATCTTCAGATATTCTCTTTGTGATGATTATATACATATATATATTATATACATGTTCATTTGTGATTTTCATGGCTCACAAATTTGTTAAGAATGGTTCGAGGAAGAACAGAATTAAAATACCGTCAAAACTATCTTTATGTTAATTCATAAGAGACAAAATGTCCACTGGTTATTGTAGCGTGCAGACTTTTGCACGCTACTTAGATTTACGATTGCGTTTAAGCCGGTTACACAGGATTCGTACTTATCAACAGCTTCGTACATTCTCTTGGAACTTGAATAAGTATAGATTAATCGATAAGAAAGAAACAATAGAATTAGAATGGAATAGTTAACAGGGTTAAATTCTTCCTGGAAAAATTAAGCACACCCTCGGAATACTCGGAATTCAATTAGCATTCTAGTAATAAAAAATTGTTTAGAAAGTATCCCAGTCGATACACTGACCAATCTCTCCTAAATTGTGTTGGAATTCAGGAAAAGGTTTCTATAGAAGAAAGTCGAAAAGAGAGAAAAGAGAGAGAAAGAGAGAGAGATTGTGAGACTGGTGACCCGGGTGCAATGTCGTATCACCGTGGGGGCCAGGCGGGCGCCGTAGCAGTGTCGTACAGCACCAGTCCAATGGCGCCGCATTCTCCTAGCAGACGATGTTCCAGCGGTAACAGCGGCAACACCAGTTCCTCTATCGGCAACTCCACCTCGAAGCTGAGCACCTACCGATCTACTGCTCCGTCGTCGATCCTAGATCGACCGACGAACTTCTACTCGTCTTCGTCGACATCGGGCAGCTCGGGCTTTCGTTCAAACTATACAACCGAGTACAGGCGATCCTACTGCCCATCAGGCAGGTGAGTCTTTTTTCCTCTCTCGTCACGTTCTCCATCTTCCATGTTCCCTTAATTCGAGATTCCATTAATGGATTCCAGGGATCGGCAATCACGTGCAGTTTGTAAAGATTGAAACTTAGGAACAAGCAAGTCTAACCCTTTGCTGCCCTCGTTTCAAATAGAACTCCGGACTTTTTATATTGTTCAAAGTCTAGAAGTATAGCAATACCCTGCTGATTGGCCATGTGGCTGAATCTGGTCAGTTAGCAAGGCAGTACATAATAAGAATCATGGTGAAGGATATTGTTTTCGTTAATTACATCTTACGTCCGCAAGGGGTTGGTCCGTTGATGTATTCGGAATATTGGCACTGAAAAGATAGAAATTGATTGAAAGAAGTTTACAAAGAGGAAGATCGATTAAGGGGAGGCGTTTTACTTCCGTCGATACTCCACCGACTGGTCGAATGCATGCTTCTCTTGACTTCTTGTCAATTACTTTGTTTCTTTGGACCGTTCAGGCTTTCCTTTACCGGGGTTGGCCTTGGCCAAGCAGCTGATTATATCAAGTATTACACGTACTTCGATATTATAAATAACCTTTAATATTAGAACTAAACTCGTGGTTAGCGTGCTGCCGATCCCGAGCTTCTTGACAATGCGAAAAAGGAGGTTAATTAAATAGTTGGTACTCGATCGGCCCTACAGTTTCTACTCGTCGGCGAACACGAGCATCCGCAGGAGTTACGTGTCGGAGTACAGCCGGTCTCGCAGCTCACCCACAAGGTGAGCAATCTCCGTGAACAGGGATATGAGACAGCCGGGGTCACTGGCTATGAGATCAAGGCCCCGATAAGTTTCCACCGATTCTGTGCAGTGTCTTCCTGGTTTCTCCCACATTTGTCAGCCCACATTCGATGAAATAACTGTAATTGCTTGATGCACAACTAACGTCCACTCTGGGAATGGATTTCCTGAAATGCTAAACGATAGTTACCAGTTAGGCTGTTAACTGTAGCGGCGCGGTTGTTGCTCGAAGCTATGGTTGTCAGAGACCACATGGCGGAAGTCCCTTGTCATCGATCTTTCCTTCCTTTTTGTCGGCCGATGAATCACACTCGTGCCAATTGCGTTTCTCTATCGCGGGGAACGCGACGACGTGGATAAAATGGCTACGGGACGCACGTTATAAATACATCAGCCGGCAACAGGTATCCCAACGACACCCTTTACAATGCGCCAATTACTTTTGTTCGCGTCACAATGATTCAATTAGGAAGGCGCGACCTATGAGTCCCCGTTTCTATGGCATGGTCGAGGCGACGACAAAGCTCGAGATCGATAGTAAATGGGCCGCATAGACTTGCACTGGCTGCCAGAGAACTAGTTATACACAGAAATCCTGTCTATCCACTTGCCATTGATGGAAGATAGTAGATATTTTGTCTGCTCTTTGGACAACAAAACTAGCTCCTCTTGCTTACTTGGCGTTAAACATGCGATTAAAGTCGTAAGATCTGCCAGTCACATTGTGGTCACCATTTTTGGGAAGCGTATCAGTGGGATGATATGCGGATGATAGAGGAGGCGGTTGCTCGGTAGCCTTGAGTTTTGATTTTGCAGTGGTTATAGAATTCGTGGAAGTGAATGTAACCCTCTATAACCAGAGTTTTGCCTGCTGACTAATTGATATAATTAAACTGCTTGATAGTAGTGGAGTGATATAGAAGCTGTGTCTGGTTATCCCGTATGCATAACATTTTCAATATTCATATTCATTTTCACATACAAAATTCATAACAGAATCAAAATATTTTGGAATAGTTGGACAATGTACCGTGAAAGGTCTTTATGAACACATCTCTGTTAGTTAGTGTAACGACAACTAGCAACGATAAAAGATATCACTCGACATTATTTTCAAATGATCTGTTGCCACCTAGGGAAAGAACACGAAATATTAGTGATTTTAAATTCTTTAATATTTTTTATGGAATTATTGTCATCTGCTTAAATATACAACGTTTTTGTTTGATAGGTGGTTTAATATCTTTGCAAATTTTTGCAAATATGCAAACAAATAACTGTCGATTTACTTCACATCACCGTA